CACCGGCGGGGCACGGGCGGCTCCGGCGGGGCAGCGCCCGCGGGCGACGGCGGCGGCAACGGCGAGATGGGCCCCGCCGGCCCGATCCGGGCCTGGCGCGGTGGGAGGAGAGAGAGGGCGCGAGCGAGGGTGAGGTGGCGCACGCCGGTTGGCTGCGGAGGCGGAGCTGCTGAGGTGGCGGCCTCTGATTGGCCCGGGCGATGTGGCGGCGGCGGTGGACGCGTCCGACGCGGAGGCGGACATGTCCGGCGGCGAGAGGGAGGTTTGATCTAGGGTTTGGACTGCGGGATTTCGGGGAGGATCACATATTTATAGGTAGAGGGAGCTAGGAGTGTCCAAATGGGGAGCGGTTTTCACCCACACGATCATGATCGAATGACTGAGAGCATGGAGGGGGTTTGGATGGGCTCATGGGCTGTGGTGAAGAGGGGCTGGGCTGCAAAGAGAGAGGGGTTTCGGGCTACGCGGTTAACCGTTGGGGAGTCAAACGGACTCCGAATGCGACGAAAATTGACAGACGGTCTACCTACTCTAAAACAACACCGCACGCCAAGTTTCATCCCGTTCCGAGAACATTTTTCGGCCACTTATAAAAATAATATTCGGACGTGCCGCGAGCGCGTGCGAGTGTGTCTGGGCTCGGAACGGACAACAGAGAGAACTGGGAGGACCCGAACGGATGCAAGTTTTGAAAAACATGCAGATGAAATGCAGATGATAACATGGCAAAATGCAACACGCAAGCAATGACATGGCAACAACGACGAATAGCTGGAAGACACCTAGCGCATCAGATCCGGGGCGTTACAGAAAGAGCCACGGAGCCAGATGGGCGTGTCAGCAGGTCACCTGTTGGGCCCACATGACCCTCGTTTGCGTCCCAAGGCATGGCCGCGTGAGGGGGCATGTGGGGCCCACAGGCAACGCCTCCCGTGCCTCCTTCGCCCATATACAGTGGTGGCCATCCGAAGGGTCGTCCGGGGAACCCGAAGGAGTGGACGTGGCATCAATGGGCGTGTGGTTGCTCATGGGCGGTGTCTGGAAAGCGCACAATTTCAAAACCCGGTCATGGCGCGAGGAGAAAGAAGCTAAAACTTTCCTCTCTCGCTAGCGGTTGGGTTTGGAGCGAGCTCCATAATGGACCTGTGTAGCCTCCAAACATGGAGGTTGCAAGCTCGGTTTTACAGTGAGCTCTATAAATTATGACGACTCGGGCCGGATTGTTACCTTACTAGAGTGGCTTTTCAGTCCAAAATGGTCATATAAGATTGGTTTGATACGGACTTTGCTAGGATTACTCTAAATATTGTCTTCTTATGTTTCCTCTCCTATGCAACATACAAACCCCTGAATGAAGAATAACATATGTGGACTCGAAGTTTGGGCTCATCGGTGCTGATTTCTTTAAGGAGGTTCAAATCAGTTGCCAAACAGATGCTCCCAAAACCCACACGTTCACCCATCAGGCTTGAGAGAGATCGGAGGGCGGATATTATGGTTGAATGCTCGGTGGCCCACGGCCGATCTTCGCGGGACAGAGACGGCGATCGGCGAAAAAGCGCGACACATTCCCAGCTTCCCACGCGCGACAGTTAAAGAATGTCTGCGTCAAAAATGAATGAATGAATGAATGAATGAGCAGCCTTGCTTATGCTATGATGCCACCTCGCCAGTGGATCTTCTCCCTCCCTCGCTCCCTCTGCGCTCTCATTTAAGACAACCATGCATTCGAAGCAGATTTGGTCTGCCCAGTCCAGTGCGAGTGCTACAGTCCTACAGACAGAGTCCAGCAGCGTAGATCTGCCCAACCAGGCCTCTACGGTTATTCCGACCTCTGGGAAGGCGACATGCGCATGTCGCCAACACGCCGGGCTTCCGCCACAGCGCACGCCCCGAAGCCACGGCCGGCCATTTGATGCGGGTCGCTGGATCAATTCATTCCCGCCGCCTGCGTCTGGATACGATGCTGGGGAGAGCGGGCGCGTACGTATACAGCGCCCATGCCATACATGACACGAGGATCGGGTCTGGGATTGCGTGCTGGATCAGATTGTCACTTATACGCTGTCTGCCGACGTTTTATTGCGTGCTGGAAGCGATCTGCGAGGCGCGTACGTGCACGGTGGTGCTGGTTTATTACGGACGCCAGTCAATCTTAGACCAGCCAGTGCCAGGCGGGGAGAGAGAGATCTCATGCGTGCGTGTTGGGTGTTGTGCTGCTTCCGTCGCAGTCGGGGAGGTCGCGTCCGCGGGATTCGACGCAGCTAGGAGCCTGTCTGCCTAGTCATGTCGGAAATCTTCCTCTGACCTGGACTAGTGGCAGTAGTACACCCTGTCAAAGTCGGCCTAGTCATTCGAGGTCCAGGGGGAGGATGCCCCTCCACCACGCCAACGTTCAAACCTACTCCTAACACCCGTATTTATGTGAAAATTGACAGTTCCGACCCTTGTGAAAAGACTATATACCCTTTTTCGAAAATATCAATGAATCTGACTTTTGGAAGAAGATTTTAAACGAGAAACAATCCATCTCAAAAACTTAAGAGGTAATAGCACCAGGAGTCCCACAACTTGTCCTAGATGTGATGATCTGGTCCAAAACTTGCAAAAGTCAACTATTGAGTCCCACAACTTGCATTCAATGTGCAAATTTAGTCCTAGCCAATCAGACGACGACAAGTGGAGCCTAGTCAGCAGAGCCGGTCAGCGCAGCACATTTTTCAATTACCCCCTGGCCTTAGCACAAATAAACCCGCACTACACCACCTGAGTTTAACTGCGTCGCCGCCATTGCCGCCGCGGAGTCCCGGTGGGTCATCGCCTCCTCCTCTCCCTGCAGCCTCTGCTCGGCGCGTCGTACCTGCGGGCGAGGAAGAACTACATCCTGCACCTCGCCCCGAGGGGCGGCCCCGTCGACTCCGTCGAGGAGTGGCACCGCTCCTTCCTCCCGCGGACGGCCGCGCTCGAATCGGAGCCCGAGGCGGGCGGCGGCGCCGAGGACCACGGCCCGCGCATCATTTACTCCTACAACCACGTGTTCACCGGCTTCGCCGCGCGGCTCACGGAGGAGGAGGCCGAGGCGCTGCGGACCACAGAGGGCTGCCTCAGGCTGTACGACCCCATCGTCATCGCGGCGTTCCAGGCCATGGAGCGCGGCATCTTCGTCAGCTGCGCGGCGGGGAACGCGGGTCCGGACCCGGGCTCCGTGGGCAACGGGGCGCCTTGGATGCTCACCGTCGCGGCCGGCACCATGGACCACGCCATACGCACCACCGTGAGGCTCGGAAACGGCGAGGAGTTCGACGGCGAGTCCCTGTTCCAGCCAGGCAACAACTCCGCCGCAAAGCCGCTTCCGCTTATGTACCCCGCCGCCGACGGCTCCGACACAAGCCGCGATTGCAGCGTGCTGCGCGGAGCCGAGGTGAGCGACAAGGTGGTGCTCTGCGAGAGCAGAGGCCTGAACGGCCGCATCGAGGCTGGCCAGACCGTGTCCGCGTACGGCGGCGTGGGCATGATCGTGATGAACAGAGCAGCCGAGGGGGTACACCACCTTCGCTGACCCGCATGTCCTCCCTGCCTCGCACCTGAGCTGCGATGCCGGGACCAAGATCGCGGCCTACATCAACTCCACGGCCAACCCGACGGCGAGCATCGCGTTCAAGGGCACAGTCATGGGCGCGCTGCCGGCGCCGGCCGTTACTTTCTTCTCGTCCCGAGGTCCGAGCAAGGCCAGCCCGGGCATCCTGAAGCCGGACATCACGGGGCCCGGCATGAACATACTCGCGGCGTGGTCGCCGAGCGAGTCGCACACGGAGTTCTCCGACGGGGGCGTCGGCCTCTCTTTCTTCGTGGAGTCTGGCACGTCCATGTCGACGCCGCACCTGAACGGCATCGCCGCACTCATCAAGAGCCTGCACCCGGACTGGTCACCGGCGGCGATCAAATCCTCCATCATGACGACGTCGGACGCAGTGGACCGCACCGGCGTGCCCCTCAAGGACGAGCAGTACCGCCTCGCCACCTTCTACGCCATGGGCGCGGGCTACGTCAACCCCGCGCTCGCCTTTGACCCGGCCTAGTCTACGACCTCCACGCCGACGACTACCTCCCCTACCTCTGCGGCCTCGGCATCGGCGACGAGGGCGTCACCGAGATCGCCCACCGCCCGGTCACCTGCGCCAGCCTCAAGGCCACCACCGAGGCAGAGCTGAACTACCCGTCCCTCATCGTCAACCTGTTGGCCCAGCCGATCACAGTCAACCGCACGGTGACCAACGTCGGGAAGCCGAACTCGGTGTACACCGCCGTGGTGGACATGCCCAAAGACGTGTCGGTGACTGTGCAGTCGCCGATGCTGCGGTTCGCGGAGGCCAAGGAGAAGCAGAGCTTCACGGTGACGGTGCGGTGGGCGGGACTGCCGAGCGTCGCCGGCGCCGAGGGCAACCTGAAGTGGGTCTTCGACGACCACATCGTGCGGAGCCCCATCGTGGTTCCGCCCAAGGCCGCGTAGTAATTCTGCGGCCGGCAGCATGTATAGCTAGCTAGCATCGGTAGGCTGCTGCGCTTCGGTGGTTTTGCGCAGGCTGCATGCAAACTGGAGCGATTTTGTTCTGTAAATAGCGCGAATCAATAAAAATGTGTCTCCAGAACATCTTGTCCTCCGAAAATTATTTCCTCCTTAGCACAAAGGTGAGTGAGTGGAGCAGGATATTCCAGAAATATACCACGCAGTTAAACTCAGGTGGTGTTGTGCGGGTTTATTTGTGCTAAGTCCAGGGGGGTAATTGCAAAAAGTACGGTGCTGACCGGGTGGAGTGGGCTGTGCTGACTTGGCTCCACTTGTCGTCGTCTGATTGGGTAGGACCAAAATTGCACATTGACTGCAAGTTGTGTGACTCAATAGTTGCCTTTTGCAAGTTTGGGACCAAATCATCACATCCAGGACAAGTTCTGGGACTTCTGGTGCTATTACCTCAAAACTTAAGCCAAATCCGAGCCTTCATGTCAACACCACCCAACACGGCTTCAAGTGGATGAAGACTTCTTTTTTCTGCGAATAAAGTGGATGAAGACTCAGATGATGCACTTGACATAGCCAAGTGCACCACATTTGTTTCTACATCTTTAAACCGAAGGAGAAACAAACACGGAAATTCTGAAATTGAATACCAAAGTAGATACACATTCGAACACTATTTCAGAGCGCAATGTCGACCTGGATACAAAAAGAGAAAGTTTTCTGGAACTCAAAAACCCTTGAACCATAGAGACGAACACAATCAAACCGCTCCAACGTAGATGCAAGGAGGCGTGGAAGATGGGAATGGGAGCCTGGGAGGCGTGTGGTGAGAGAGACGAGGATCACAAAATTAGGGGAGAGTTAAGTTTTTGTTGGATAGGATTATGTTAGACCAAAAGTGTATATGCCTTCGGTTGGAGTGGTATACAAATACAAGATAAGAAATTTTCTAACGCGTCGGTACGAAAATTTTGTTTCCATATGTTTATTGCTTGAAACCGCAGTTCCGTTTCTATTGGAGATAGCTACCAAACTACTTGTCATCGTTTTCTATATAAGGGCTAGACGAAGCCCCATCAAAAGCTTAAGATCATGCCGGAGCCTCGTATTTGTAACGTAATTCAATAAATAGGAAAACGCCATTTTAATCTCCCTCGTTGGTTAGTAAAGATAGGTAGGCAGAATATAGGGTTATTATGCATTGGGGGGCTTGAACCTGGGTAAAACCACCTTCAACATTGTCGAGGTCTATTCGGGCACCACCATTTCCTCTACTTACTTCCACGACCCTCTCCATCAGTGCATTAATCATCGACATGCATGTCATTCGTTGATATCTGATGCAGGAGTCCAAGGATCTTCCACAACCCCCTCTTCAGGTCCATCCCCACGCAACCAACCTCGGGGCACTCCCAGCGGGGGAGACGCCTAGAGTAGTAGCACCGGCTCACGCGCTGAGGCCCACAAGGCCACAACCCTAATTACCCATTCGAAGCAAATGGTTTTGATGTCAGAAACCCGAAGTAATGAAAACATATATGTGTTGTTGTAGTCATTTGCAGGTGAGGAAATACCTATTGTGTTATATTCATTCACTAATAGTGAAAGTTTAAGAATCAATCGAGGAAGTTTTTTTATGTAAACAACTTGTCATCTCTACTTGTCTGTATTAAATCCCGCTAGATGCTGGAAGTTTTCTTGAAATTCAGTGCAAAGTTGAAGAGTCAATTAGGAGATGCCTAGCCTGCAGCTAACTGTTTGTTGTTATTGTTGTTGTTGCTGGTGCGAATGAAGTGTGTTTAGCCTGAGACATAAACATGATCCATACTTGTTCCACTTGCTATATATTTAGCTGGATACAGACAGGGCGAGCAAAGCAAAGATGCAGTGTCTTATCTGGTTATGCATATATTACCACTGGCACATGCGCACCATATCATCATATCCGGAGCCAGCACTCAAGCAGCAGAAACATATATACATAATCCGCAAGATACGCATCCACGAGAGCATGATTTAGTTGGCACAGACATGCGAATAAACATCTCCAGCCAGCGCCATAATACAAGCCAGGAAACGGTTGGAACGTATCCCGCGCCGAATCCACGTGCTGACTTTCTTTAGCCCCTCCCTCCACGCCGTGGCGCGATCATGCCCGCGACGGAGACCGGTAGGAGCACTCCCAGAAAGGATCGGACGCGATCGGACCCCGTGCAGGTCAAATGGTTTTCAATTAGTACGAACGAACATAATAATCACCAAAGCTAAGATAATGAGAATTGTTTTACTGGCCGATGATCTGATATGATGCAACGCGTGGCGCCACGACGCGCGGATCGCCGTCGTACCACCGGTGGCGATTCTCTGCTCCTGCGTCGGACGGACCGGGGAAAAGGGAAGGAAAATGGAGAAAAGGGGAGGGGAGGAGGTGGAGAGATTCCCCGACAGCAAAATCTAGGGGAGGGGGAGGGGAAAGCATTTTCCGTGCCCCACGAGCTGGCCACCGCCGGCGGGTCCCGCGCGCGCGAGGCTCGGGCCCACTACCCCTCTTCTCTCTCTCTCTCTCCCTCCCTCTCTCTCTTCCACGCTCGCGGTCACCCCCTGAAGAAGAGGAGAGGAGAGGAGCCTTCATCACTCGCCTGCAGGTGCACCGGGTCATCAAATGCTCGTACTCTCTCTCCCATCTCCCGCCCGGCTGCTTAAAAGCCCATTATCGGCGCCGCCTGTGACCTCACCTCACTCCGCCTCGCAGTCATAATTCTCCCTAGCATCTTTCTTACCACTAGTATTAGTAGGAGGACCTCCTCCTGTTGCTGCTGGAGTGGTTGCTTGTGTGGTAGAGAGGAGAGGAGAGGGAGATGGAAGGAGGAGGCGCGGACGGGGTGACGAGGGTGCTGCTGGTGGACGACTCCCCGGTGGACAGGAAGGTGGTGGAACTGGTGCTCGGCAGCAACACCTTCGCCGGCTCCTTCCACGGTCAGCTCCCTTCCCTTCCCTTCCATGGCTCGAATTCTCTAATGGCGAGGCTGTTCAATTTTCCTCTGCCGCCCATGCTTTTGCTCTGTTAATTTGCTCGTCCCATGCGCGTGCTTCTCTTGAACAGCATGTGTGCAAACTGCACATAGACAGCATAACCGATCGTCATCGTCCCATGTTTTTAATCCTCCTTTCCTTCACCATTGCTGCGCCGTTTCTGAGCTTTTTTTTACCAACACGTTTGCTCTGTACTAAAATCTCAACAACTTCATACAGTCGTCGCCGTGGACAGCGCCAAGAAGGCCATGGAGTTCCTGGGGCTCAAGGACGGCAAGGTAACTACTAACAATTCCATCCGCCCTGTCCATGGCAGATCGCCTCGCATTCAGTACTGCAGAGCAATCAACAACTGCAAAGCACGACTTGCTTCTCATTTTCTTTCATTTTTCCCACTTTGGCTATCCATTGGCGCCACGGCGGCGCGCCACTTGTCGGTGGCACGCCGGCCGCCGTACCGTACGGGGCGAGGGGCGGGCTCGCGCATGCGCGCGTGAGGGTTTTGTGTTCTTGGGAGGGGAGGACGAGAGCCAGAAAAGGTCGCCACTTTTTTATGGGGGGAAAGGGATAAAAACTCGCCGTCTTACAGCGGCCTGCCGAGGCTGTCTGGTAGCCACAGGACATGAGAGCACTAGTTAAAGGCACGGTTGGAGAAAGGTGTTGCTTGGATTAGTAGGGTAATAATAATCTGCTAGTACTGATTGTTTTCTTTCACCTGTGCTGTTTGTCTGCAGGAGCAGGCCGTCGACATGGTGCTCACTGACTACTGCATGCCTGAGATGACCGGCTACGACCTCCTCAAAGCCATCAAGGTGCAAATCTCACTGCATACGTGCCCATTTTTCCATTCACATTTGTGATGTGAAAGAAGATGTCCAATGCTCCCAGAATCTCATTACTAATTTCCATGGACATTTTCAGGCGATGAGTCCTCTCAAGCCCATCCCGGTGATCGTCATGTCGTCGGAGAACGAGCCCCAGAGGATCAGCAGGTGAGCCTCGATTTTGCTTCCCCTTTTCTTCGCTCGAGCATCCATTTTTGTTCAAAGTCGATGAAGCTATGGGGGCGGGGGCAAAAAAGGTTGCCTTTGCCGGGACAGTAGGCAGACAGTACATCATGGGTCTAAAGCAGTTAATAAGATGGATTCGTAGCCACAGTGCTTGCTGCTTCAGTAAATACCCTGCAGTCAGTTCATTATGCTGCCTGTCCTAGTTCTTCTCATTATGTATCAGTATCAGTGAATTTTGAACATCCGATGGAGATCTCTGCTTTTCTCAGTGCATTCATTGTGTCTTTGTAATCTTTTGATTGTACTGTACTATACAGAATCCTGCAGCTGATACCTGATAGTAACCGTCTTAACTTTTTGCTGGGGACAGATGCCTCAAGGCTGGTGCTGAAGATTACATCGTCAAGCCTCTTCAGAGCAAGGATGTGCCGCGTCTGAGGAGCTGCTCGAACGTGAAACCCAAGGACCCTCCATGCAGCACTGTGAGCAAGAGCTCGGACCATATAGCTGCTGTCGATGGCAAGTCGTCGCTGCGACGGCGAGCACACCTCACCGATATTGCCATGGCACGTCACCACCCCTACCTCCATCTTATTACCGTCTGATGTTCCAGGACTCATCATCATCTTCGCTTGCTGTTGTGTTTTTTTTTTCAGGTTCTCCACTCGTCGAGCGCCGGGCTCTCGCACTACTTCCCGTTCCTCTTCAAGTTCATCCTGCTGGTCTACGCCATCCTGTGCGTCGGCGAGCTCCTGCACAGATGGTCCAACGGCTGCTTCCTCTCCTACCTGAGGTGATGGTGCCGCGGTCCAGTGACATGCTGCAGCTCTGCAAGGAGTAGCTCGTGTGTCGTAGCTTATGAGTGAGCAGTGAACCTCCATGTTTCAACAACCATGGATGGAGCTTTAGGTAGTAGATTCGTTTGCTTTGAGATTCTCTGACCGGGCGTCAGTTCTTGGCCTTGTTGGGCTGACGAGTTGAGGAAGAACCCCTTGTATCCATCCTTGTACAAAACGCACAATGAGGCAGGCGGTATCTGATGTCCCTTTTGGCTTGGATCTTGGCTGATCTACTGACGTGACATTCAGGGAACTTTTTTTCGCCTTTCACTTGGTTGAGGGCGACTGCTCACCTGTTTCAATAGTTCAGATCTCATGAGAAAAGAACAGCACAAGTTGACTTAAAAGTAGCACCAGATCTTCTGATGAGAAAAGAAAAAGATGATGCAGACACCATAGTATGGTCTCAAAGGTCAGGTCTATACCGTCCATGTATTGTACTCACGAATCGTGTAATTGCATTCATGCAGTAGTTCAGACAGCGAAATTGCGTGATAGAATGTTTGCTTTAAGATGGGACCTTTCTATTGGATGATTCCAGATAAAATGTTTGCTATTTACATGCCTAGTAATAATTAATGTACAAAGGTGGGTGAGGGATCCGAGCCATTGAAATCACAATATTGCCTCCTGCGGCATGTGATTGCTCGTCTTCCTACTGCTACGTCTGTTGTAATTATCGTTCTATGCATAGCTGCAAGTTCCTTCCTCTGTTCTACATTTCACCGTCTGGTTGAGGTGCAAATTCTTTCAATATGTCTTCCTTGTATGGACCTGATTCATGCAGGACATTGATGACATGCTTAACCTGATATCAACGCAAACAAGAAAACATTAGTTGGAATTGTCAGCAACGGTACTTGGTGGATAAGAACCTATTGGAAAATAGAAGGATTCTAATAAAATGAAGGACAGCGTAAAAAACAGCTTTCTCTATTATTTGTCCCTAAATTCAAAAGAGTGGACCAATGCTAGATGGAGATAAAAGTATACAAGTATTATTTGTCAGAAAACATAGAATTACTCATGACATCATCAAATGGAGGTAGTCTATAATGGTTAATATATTTCTAAGATGGAAAAGTTGAAATTTACTAGTTCGTTTTTGCTTTTGCACGCGAGTATTAATTTAGAAAAGAAATGTGGAAGGGTCGATACACTGCACCAATATTCTTTTCTGTGGGAAATGCATATTTAGACAAGTGTTATCATTAAATTATAGTTACTATATTAACACATACACCTTTTTTAAGTGTGCAAGAAAGCATACACTCCTTTCCAAGAGCAGTAGCCGCTATTGTTTGGCATTTATTAGCTCCAAAAGCTGAAGCTCAATGTGAGAGAAGGAGCAGAATGCATAACTGTCCACCGAAGAATTACATGGGAGTTTAATGGTGATGCATGCTTTACACAGTGTAAACTTAAGAGCAATCAATCCACACAGTAGTGGTTTATCAGCCATCATAACATAAAGCCATACCACTGGAATAGTTCTATCGAAAACAGGGTACCATGTTTACATTTCACAATTAAGGACGCAATAATAGTCTTCTGCTATGAGTTCGGCTTTCGGATGACATAACACTAAGTAATTGCAGATACTATGCATGCAGATGGCTGAGTAGCAATTGTGGATGTGGTAGGAGCTTGGGCCCTACCTGGCCTGAACCGTAGGTTGTAGGGGTGGGAGGCTGGTTGGCGAGGAGATGAGCGCCGGCGGCGGTTGAGAGGAAGATGGCGTAGGGGAGGAGGCTAGGATTAGGTCTCCCGGCTCCCTAAGGAAGCCGAGCAAATATGATTGCTTCTTGCTTAATTCCAAAACGGATCCTTAGACGAGTTTATATAATCCTCATAATAAGATAATTGGGCTAAGCCCCTAATAACGATAAGATAGACTGGGCCACAACTAACTGGGCTAAGCCCCTAATATGCCGGTCATAACATTTCTCCCCGCCTGCACAAACAACTCGTCCTCGAGCTGGAAGGCGGGGAAGCGCTTGCGGAACTCCCCGAGGTGATCAACCGTCGCCAAACACCTCCGCGGCAGCTGGGGCGGGTAGGTCGCCGAGCCCGGCAGCGGCGGGGTCCTCCTCAATGTAGTCCGCAGCCTCCAGGTAGAAGAGTCGCGAGCAGACGTGGCCGGGCACGTAGGGCTCGTCGCAGTTGAAGCACAACCCTTGGCGGCGACGCTCGAGTTGCTCGGCCGGGGTGAGCCGGCGGAACGGGCGCGCCGCGGTTGCGGCGAGGGGTGCCGCGGAAGCCTGAGCAGGCCGACCCTGCGCGGGAACGTTCGGCCAGGGTGGCGGCCCAGCGGCCCAGGACGGTGACGCCTGCTGGATGGCCACTGCGCGGCGCTCGAACGCGTGAGCGTAGTACATGGCCGTCTGGAGGTCCTGGGGTCCACGCAGCTCCACGTCCACGCGGATATGATCCGGCAGACCGCCGACGAAGAGCTCAGCCCGCTGGCGAGCCGTCAAGCCGGGCGCGTGGCACTCCAGGGCCTGAAAGCGGTCGGTGAAGTCCTGCACCGTAGAGGTGAAGGGAAGACGGCCCAACTCCGCTAGCCGGCTCCGGCATATTGGCAGCCTGAAGCGAAGGAGGCAGAGCTCGCGAAAACGCTCCCATGGAAGCATGCCGCCCTCGTCCTGCTCGAAAGCGTAATACCAAGTCTATGCGGCGCCTCGGAGGTAATATGAAGCGAGCCAGGTGCGGTCCGACACGAGCGTGCGTTGCCCCCGGAAGAACTGGTCACACTGATTAAGCCAGTTGAGGGGGTCATCGGTGCCGTCGTAGGTGGCGAAGGCAAGCTTGGCGAAGCGCAGCGCCGTTTGGGTATGACCGCCGTGGGGGTACGGCGCCGTCTGGGTATGACCGCCATGGGGGTACGGCTTGGCGGTGCGGAGCAGTGGCGCCGGGTCGGTGATCACAGGGGGGCCCCCCGTGGAACTGCGTCGCGTCGAGGCCAACGTAGGGACCCGCGGAACTGGAGGACCCGCCGTACTGCGCCTGCTGGGGCGGCACGTGCGGTGGTCCCGAGGCCATCGTGTAGACCGACTGAGACGACGACTCGGTCAACCAAGCAGGTAGCGGGGACGGCGAGGGCGGGAACGGACCTGGTGGATCGGGACTCCCGCCCAGCGAGACAGCGCTGAGCGCGGCGGAGGCCGCCAGGAGCGGCGGCTACCACTGCAGCCAGGGCTGGGCGATGGTGGCGATGAATGGCAGCTGCAGCGGCCCGGCGAGCGCGGCGGAGGCCGCTTGGTGCGGCGGCTGCCATGGCAGCCACGGCGGCGCGGGAGCGGCGATGGGCGGCGCAGCTGGGTGCGGCCCGTAGGACCCGGCCAAGAACAGGCGGATCTCCTGGACCGCCTGGGTTAGGTCCCGCAGCACCCCGGACACCTCCTCCGGGGTGAGGACGGCGGGGGTGGGCGCGATGGAGGATCCCGGCGCGGGCAGGAGCGGGGCGACGGTCGTGGTGGTCGCCGGAGGCGACGAGGTGACCGGCAGCGGGAGAGACGGGCTGGGCGGCGGTGAAGACATGATCGAACCGAAGCTAGCTGATACCAAACTGGTAGGAGCTTGGGCCCTACCTGGCCTGAACCGTAGGTTGTAGGGGTGGGAGGCTGGTTGGCGAGGAGATGGGCGGCGGCGGCAGCGCGTCGGCGCCGTAGTTGCGCGGGAGAAGGCGGCGGCTGAGAGGAAGATGGCGCAGGGGAGGAGGCTAGGGTTAGGTCTCCCGGCTCCCTAAGGAAGCCGAGCAAATATGATTGCTTTCTTGCTTAATTCCAAAACAGATCCTTACACGAGTTTATATAATCCTCCTAATAAGATAATTGGGCTAAGCCCCTAATAACGATAAGATAGACTGGGCCACAACTAGCTGGGCTAAGCCCCTAATATGCCGGTCATAACAGGATGCAATATATTCAAGAAAGCGGTTTACAAATCCATAGGAGGCATATATTGAAGCAAATACAAAAAGATGGCTAAGTGACAACAACAAAGCCTTTAGTCCGAAACAAGTTGGGGTAGGCTAGAGCTGAAACCCATAAGATCTCAAAAGCGTTTAGTCAAAAAAAGATGGCTAAGTGACATTTAAGCAATATACTTTGAATAATCTCTGGCAACTATTGAGTATTCAAGTGGAATACCTGAGCTGTCTCATGTACAAGAAAATTTCCAATAGCTGTCGCAAAACCAGGTTCTAAGAAGTAGTGGCAGCTGTAAGTTGTCACAGGGAGGTAACCACGCTGGATCTTGTGCTCTCCCTGGGCACCAGCTTCCACCTTACTCAGGTTTAGTTCTATGGCCGCTTCGATTGCCTGAACGTTAAATATTCTATAAGAACCATATGTGTCTCCACATTGTTCAGAGTACCAGTCAGATATAATATGTCCACTACAAATATAAGAGACTTTTGAATTCAATCTTCTACAGGAAATCGAACAGATGAGAAGCACAAGTGCAATTGATGATCAACTGGCCATCCCTTCATTAAAAACAGCTCTACCTTTTTGCAGAATGCGAATAAGCATGTCCTGATGAAAGTTGGGAACAGTATTGCCATGACAGATTAGTTCTCAGTTAATACAGTATACATATTGTACAAAGATGTGTGAATTACCTGGTAATAGCAAGCTTCAAAATGCAAATTGGGGAAATGAGCATCTGGTAGGCATCCCCATAAGCGGCCATATAATGTATCGCCTCCAATAAGATTAAGAGCTCCAGCGACAACTTTATCATCATGTTCAGCAACAATTAGCATTACCTTGTCGCCCATCTTTTCTCCTAAAAGGTGAAAGAACTCCTGCGTCAAGTATGCTCTGCCCCAGCTGCAAACAAACTTATCATATAAGTGAAAAAATTACATCACACAACTTCAAATAGTACCC